CTCTGTAGATCAGACTGTCCTCAAACCTCCAGCACACAGAAATCTACCTGCCTCTGCCTCAGTAGTGCTGGGATTAGAAGCATGTGCCACCTGACTTAAATTACTGAAAGATTTTACTGAGGGAGGGGATTAAAACATTTGTATAAAAGTCTTATTACAAATAGCAGCATATTTGTAATAGCCAGAAACTGGAAGCAACCTAGATGCCCCTCAACTGAGGAATGGATGGAGAAAATGTGGTACATTTACACAATGGAGTACTACTCCAGGGGGAAAAAACTATGGAATCTTGAAATTCGCAGGCAAATGGATGGAACTAGAAGAAACCATCCTGAGTGAGGTAACACAGTTGCAAAAAAGACAAAAATGGTATGTACTCACTCATATATGGATTTTAGACATGGAGCAGGGGATTGCCAACCTACAATCTACACTGACAGAGAAGCTAGGAAACAAGGAGGACCCTAAGAGAGACACACATAGTCCCTGGAGAAGGGGAAAGGGACAAGATCTCCTAAACTAATGGGGATCATGGGGGAGGGGAGAGGGAGTTAGAAGAAAGAGGAGAAAGGGAGGGGGAGGAGGACATGAGGGAACAGTAAGATCTAGTCAGGGGAAGAATGGAGGGGGGCAAGAAAAGGGATACCATCATAGAAAGACTCATTATAGGTTTAAAGAGAATTCTGACACTAGGGAAATGCCCAGAGACCTATAAGGTTGACCCCCAACTAACAATCTAAGCAATAGGTGAGAGGCTACCTTAAAAGCCTTTCTCTGATAATGAGATTGACGACTACCTTATACGCCATCCTAGTGCCTTCTTCCAGTAGCTGATGGAAGCAGAAATTGACACCACAGCGAAACACTGAGATGAACTCTGGAATCCAGTTGCAGAGAGGGAGGAGTGATGAGCAAAGGGGTCAAGACCAGGCTGGAGAGACCCACAGAAACAGCTGACCTGAACAAGGGGTTGCTCACGTGTAGGGGACGGTGTAAGCCACGCCTGCTAGAAGCTGGCTACAGGTGTGCCTGACCACGCCTGTCAGGGCGTGGTCAAGGTGAGGTCAGGATGATGAGTGATAGGGTTTTAAGGGGCAGCAAGGCACATGGGAGCCCCTTCTCTCTGGCCTCCCTGCCTTACTGCCCCTGGCACGCTCTGGCTTGCATTTGGCTGGTGTTTATCTAAATAAAGATATCTTAACCTTACTCATCTCATATCACTCATGAACCCCACACTGATAGCTGGGAAACCAGCATAGGACTGTTCCAGACCCCCTGAACTAGGAGGTCAGTTTGGAGATCTGGACAATCTATGGGGCCACTGATAGTGGACCAGTTTCACCCCTAGTGCACAAATAAACTTTGGGAGCCCTCTCCACATAGAGGGATACTCTCTCAGCCTAGACACACTGGGGAGGGTCTAGGCCCTGCTCCAAATGATATGACAGACTTTGAAGATTTCCCCCATGGAAGGCCTCGCCCTTCCTAGGGAGCAGAAAAGGATTGGGATAGGGGGTCAGTGGGGGACAGGGGAGGAGGGAAGGGGGAGGGAACTGAGATTGATATGTAAAAGAAGGTTGTTTCTAATTTAAATAAAAATAAACTAAAAAAAGTCTTACAAAGTGGGGAGATAAAAATAATTAAATTCCTTGTCCTAAACACGAGTTTTACAGTACTTGATGGAAAAGATTCATATTTGATTATTTCTTACACTAAGTAGTTGGAAGAAACTTTCTCCGGGATGCGGGTAGGTTGGAAATGAACGGGTAAGTTGGAAATGAACGCTTGTTGGGAATCTAGCTAAGGAATTTACCCAGAGATTATTTTCATTTTTAGGAACATTTTGCTTTGTGGGCAGTGGTAGAATTACAACCTTCTGATTATTTCGAATTTGGAGTGTCTTTCCCTGTATCTGTTTTCCTGCCACTCCTTCTGTATTAAGTGGAAAAGGTTCAGGGCTGCAAGGCTGAGTGCGGGTGGGGGCGGGGCAGGGGACTCTGAGGCGAGCAACGAGGATCATGGATTGGAAATGAAGCAATGCGTTTGGGACCCAAAGGCCGGGGATGATTAGTGTGAGGTTTAGGGGGAGGCTTTGAAGATACCGCATTTAAAATGGCAGGAAGAAGAGAGAGAAGACTCGGGGACAGACTGGCTGGGTTCTGGCTAAGCTTAGGAGACGTTATGTGACGGGAAATACTCATCAGCAGAGGACCAGACACTGCACAAGTCAGCAGCGTCCCGC